ACGAACCACTCACCTCATTCCCGAGTCTGGTTGAGTTTCCTTGCTAATCCAATAAAGCAATGAGGGGGGAGGTCTTGCCGTTTCTATTAATGAGTTACTCGCACGCAAAGGGTGGACGAATTTTCCTTTCTCTCCTCCCCTCCCCCCCCTCCTAATTGGCGCTGGAACCACCTATATGCGAGGGGAAAGAATAAAATGGACACAAAAATATTGTGTAAAACAGGCACAATGTCTACTACAGTGTTTATGGATTACAGAAACATGCTAAACTTTACGTACAATGAACCAAATAAAACTATAAAAAATGACAAAAAAAAACCTGATATTTTTTTCTTGGAAAGAACAATTTAAGAAGTAGAATTTTTTTGAACATTACAACATAACGAGCATTGCACATATGGTGGTCATATAAGTTATGAAAACTGTTATCTTTCAAAATGAGAGAAAAAAAAAATCAAAATTTTTATTGCGACCCTCCAAAGATACACAGCTTTTTTCTACTAAAAATAACAATGCTTGGCATGTGGCAGTATCCCGCTGAGATCACACTAATACAGAGTCCCAATATCGATTTTGCCCGAGCAATTTTGGCATTTTTGGTACGAAATTTGAAATCCAATACGTATTACAAATAGACAAAACCTAATGATTAAGGGAAGTAAAATCTCACTTTTCGATTGTAGCTGAAAAAAGAGGAAAGGCTAAAATGTCAAAAAAAAAAAGAAAAATTGGACCCGTCCGTAATGGATCGCAATGCGATTATTGCACAATTGGTGATAAATTCAAACGAACATAGGAAATTTGAAAAAACTGTCGAAAATGATGCATCTGGCACGAACCAGCTGGCACTTTTTGCCTCGGTTTTCATTCTCGTTACGCTATACCACCATTCAGACCGCTGGATTACCATTTGAGATACTTGTTGCCGAGTGAGCATCTCCAGCAGCCAATCCATTTGCACTGGGAGCAGAGAGTGGAGGATTATTGGAGCCAACCGATGGCGAAACAAAAACAACCTGAATTCCCGGATATTTCGTGCGCTGAAATGAAAACTAATTATTAATTTAAGGTTAAAGAGAAAATAACGAAGTAGAAAAGATGAAGAAGGGAAGAAAACGAAGAAAAAGCGAAATAAGACGGGGAAAGGGTACTAAGGAAATCTCATTTTGCGTAGTTTCAAAACAAGTGAAAAATCAGTTCGAACTACTGCGCAGGTATGGGTTTGCATTAATGCTGCATTCAAAATTTTCATATTTCTTCAATCCCTGGGAGCGACAGAGAAATTTGGTGTAGTTCAAGACATTCGCAAAAGCAACATTGGTCATTTCTGTGCACACGAAATGCGCAGGAAATTTATTTCAATGCAAAAGTAAAACTAAAACGGATGGGAAACACAAAAAATTGTTTTTTGCCGAGAAAAACTGCAAAAAAAGACGAAAGACGGAGAGTAAGGGGGAAAATTTTTTTTAAAAAAATTAAAATTATCCAGAAAAAGCAAAAAAAGTGATTCCAGACATTTCAAATTCTCACAATTTGCAATAAAAATGGGAAAAAACATACGCTGCTTTCGGCTACTTTCAAGGCAGCTAAATGCATCTCTTTGCATGAGAGATAGTATCGACACTGGCACACCGCGGCCAGCATGGCTCCTTGGATTATCAGCGTTATTATCAGGACAACAATGAAGAATATGTATAGGCCATTTGCCTCTTCCCTGTATGCGAAATCGAGGGTCGGCGAGTGGATATGTAACATGTGAATCCTGAAAAAAAATCCGAAGCAGTCTTTTCATTTCTTACAAGTACCACCAACGTCGTAAGTCATACGTTCAGGGATTAAGAAACTTGGAAAACTTAGAAAAGAAGTAAAACTTGCAAGGCTAATATTGAAATTTTTCTTATTTTTTTAATAATAATAATAAAAAAACCAAAAAAAGCCCAAGCTTGTCCTCTGCTACCTCCATTTTTAGTCTTTATCCAACTTCTGGCTTTAAATTAATTACCAGTATCGCAGTACAAGCCTTTTTCCTCAGCGGATACCTTTACGATTTTTTTTTCCGCTTTAATCCTTTTTACGATGATCTACTTTTTTACCTTATGTGGGGTAAAAGAGCAAAACGACGAGCTAAGATGCAAAGCCAACGAAAAACCCCTTCCGTAAAGCCCCTCTAAATAACGGTGGCTTGTAAAAACACTTGGAAGAGACTCGTGTTATACGCTTTTGCCAGATGCGACAACAAACGCACATATCGTGACAAAACCATAGATAATTGTCTTTTTGAGGCATCTGCTTAAAAACTGAAAGGAATTTTCGAATTTTTCGACATTTCCGGGAATCACAGTACCAATTTATCATCGATACGAATGCACGAATCGTAGACGGATTGACTGGGGCCATACATACAAACTGGCATAACTGCACTGCGATGGGCACTGGAGATGAAAATAATGGTTTTGTGAAAAAAAGACATACACTATGAAGAGTGCTTCGGTTCCCATGGTGGGCGCATAGACGATGATAAAGGGCAACAGATAGTGCGACGACTGCTTCCTGATGCCAACGATCACTTCATAGTGCACCATTGTCCCGATCACAAGATAAATAAACAAAAAGGCTGCAAAAATGACATACACACAA